GTAAAGGTTTAATGGAACTTTCTTCTACCAAAAGTAGATTTTATTGGACAAATAAAATAAATTAGACGCCTTTATGAGGGAGGTGAGGGGGGAGGATGGAGTGATCTTTGTGCAAGATTTCGTTGAAATAGAAAACGCGTTTGTGCACACGCGCACGCGCGCGCGCACGCACACACACACACACACACACACACACACACACACACACAATATGTACATACATATATACCATTTTTTATGAGATAATCGTAATATACGATACAGGATGGTTATACTTTGCTGAATTCTTTACGCTTTATGCGATATTCGTGTTATAGTCCCGTGTATCATCAATGTCGATCATCAAACTTCTGTACATTTATCCAATGGTGCAACTAATATACATATATATATTTTTTTTTATACATATACAAAATGGCACAAATAAGTCCCCACGTACTTAATACATTTTATAATAATTGGGAATTTATAAGAGAAATTTATTAAACTTTTTTTGAAATTAATTGTATGATACTGTAAATTACATGAAATTTTCTTACATATTACAACGCATTACAACTTTTTTTCTGCAAATGCAAATATAAATGTTTTTTTTTTTTTATTCAAATATTTTAAGTTATTGAAACGACATGCAAAATATTGCAAACACTGTTAATACTATTAATATATATATTATGTTTTCCTTATTTTGTTTTGTCTTTTATTTAATTTTATATTAAAAAGATGATAGAGTCATAAAAATTAATTGAAGCAATGAGAGAAACAAGGTCAAAAAATAATTATTGTTATAAATAATAAATTACGAACAAGTTTTCTATTTTTAATTTATCTTCTTTTTTATATTAGGCCAAGGAAAAATGCAAACTAACTTATTATGTTATTTGCCTAACTTTGAAATTGTGCAATATTTATTACTTTAATATTTAATAAAAACATATTTTGTATTTGTAATATTTAAATATGAAGTGAATTTTTCTAAAATAGACAGAAAAAACAAGTTTTGTGTAAAAAAGCAATTATTTAATCTTTGTTTATCATCATGTTAAAAAATAAACTTTATGTTAAAACATGAATTTCTTCACATCTAATATAATAGTAACGTTAACTGACTTGCTGGATTGAATATAGAAAATTTCATGTGTATGTATTACATGTGTGGTATAATATTTATTTTATTTATTGTTACACATTTATTTAATAACGAGTGTTATAAAGAATCAATATAGTTGTGAGATAACATGATGATGACCAATTGTTGTAAAATAATGGTAACAAATTGTTTAAAACAGGAAAAAAGAACTAGCATAAGTTTTACAATCATCCTAACAGTGCCATAAACAAATGTAAACTAATAATTATAAATGAACAATTTAGATGCCTTTTTTTAGATTGAATATGTACTTTCTTTTAGTTACATATTTCATAAAAAATAGAGATATATATATATATATTTAGTAATCATTGTGTGTGCGTGCGCGCGTGTTATGATACACGCACACACCCACATACACATATGATATTTCATCTTTATTTCTTTAACCTACTTGACATGTGTGACAACATGTGACATATTTGATTTTTATTGTCAAGAATAGCTTGTTACAGAACAATATACATTTCATAAAGTATGAATGAAAATTTTAATAAAAATAATTTCTATTTATTGTAAAAAGTTCGTTCTTTTTTTAGTAATTCATATATTTTAATTTGGCAGAAAAATATAAGATTTACTTCAAATATATAATTCTTTTGAGTTAATGCGATGTGGATAATTTTAAAATTATTTTTAATAATGAAAATACAAGTTCAATTTTTCTATCACTTACGATATCATCGAAAAAGACCGATTTGAAAAAGCAGTATAACGATTTCGAAGTAAACTGAAATTTTAAAATAAATTGAGAAAATAAATTTATAGGAATAACAAAAATATTTTTTCTTATCTTAGCTAATATTTTACTGTATTTCAAAATAGATGTTACGTATATTTTATACTCGTATAATTTGTATAAGTTTTCTGTTACGTTTTACTTGAATATGCACATTACTTTGCTTAAATAACGATAGGTATAAACCGTATAAATAAATTCCTGTTATTTTTATTTAATCTACATATCATTTTTCTTGACAATATTTTAAGACTTGTACTTATTTTTTTAATCAAAGAAACTTATTTTCTCTGAGGCATGTAACTATTTAGATGTAAGACGTATATATTATCTGAAAGAAAGGCATCTACTTATTTAATTAGTGAGAATAATGTCGTATGTACAAGTAAAATATTAATTTATATCGTAACACATTGGATATTAGTCAATTCTTAAAATTTCCTGTTATTTTCTTCATATCGTATTATACTAAAGAGATATATATATAATATTAGTTTTACTATATATAAAAAGATAAAATTAGATTTTGAAGTATGTAAATATTTATAAAACCAATTTGTATATACATTTTGATACGCTCACGCGTATACAAGTTGAAATAGCTAATATAAATAAAAAAAAGTAGTTGATGATTAAGTTTTATATTTGACAAATTCTTGCTGTTGTATTGAAAAATGTAGTAGTGAAATTCTCGGAATTTCGAAAGATGCGCGCGCGCGCCCACACACACACACACACACACACACACACATTTATTTCAACACATTATTTTCACGCCATTATTAAACATATAATAAAACTAACAGGTTACACGGTTTTCGTATTTTTTATTGGTTTTTCGAAGAAAAAAAAAAGAAATTCTAACTGGTTTTTAAAGAAATTTTGAAAGATAGGCGGTTAAATGTTTGCATGGGAAGAAATGACGAGCGATGCGTTAATAAAATTCCTATGTAATATCTTAGACAAAAATATGAATATACCGGAGAAACATCGAAACGTGTATGGCTTGTACACTCGTTTGGCAATTCGACCTGCTAAGCGAATAATCCAAAACTGTTTTCTACACGAGAGAATGATCTCATAGCCACACCGCTAACATAGAAGGGTTTATGCGCATTTGCTCCATACGAGGGCACAGCGTGTCATGCTACGTTTCAAGACCCCAAAGTATGTTACAGGATCAGCTGTAGTACGATGCACTATGCCTTTGTATGAATCAAGTATGCATTGGTTTAGCTAACGAGGCAACGAGGTATGACAAGACTACTATGTGGCGTGGAGCTGAGTGTGTTTTTAGCTCAACTGTTGCGTCCTTCATCAAACACATGTATATACGTAATATACTTTGCTACGTGTACATATAAATGATATATAGATAGTAAAACAGGGAGATACTACGCACTGTATTATTATATGATGTATATAGAAAGTCAGTTGTAATTTTGCATCAATTCTGTAATAATGTTTGATAAACGCGACAGTATGAAGTATTAATATACCGCAGTATTTGTCATTTTACCAAAGGTTTCACATTTTTCGATTTTTGTTTTAATTTGTACTGAAATTTGCCACTCTTAATATGATATCTGTTTTATGATATTGATATTTAGAAATCTGTGCATTTTAGATTTCTCTTATTTTATTCCCAATTATTTTTATTTCATATTATTTGTTTTTGGGCGAATTTGTACAATGTGAAGTTATTATATTGACAACGTTAGTGTGACATTTTTTTCTAATGAGGATCTTTATACACATTACATACATTTTTTTCAACAAGACGTACATCGCACAGTTTTGATAGCATGTAGTTTCGTATCTGTTTTTTTTTAAATTAAAGACATTTAGCAAGTGCAATCACAGAATTAAAAACAATTTATATGCATTTTGACATTCATAACACACGCACACATATAAATATATAAAATCATTAAGATTATTACATTCAATTCAATATACGTGATTACGAATTCGTATTTTTATTTTTTAAAATTGATTGAAAGCCCGCCCTTGTCGATCGCGCATGCACGCGCGCGTACCCCCCCCCCCCCACACACATACACACAACACACACACACAATCACAGTCCGAGTGCGATCCACTTGATACGCAAATGCATTCCTTGACAAGTCAATTTGTAATATAATTCATTTTTTAATTGATTGGTCAATGAAGCACTTGCAGCATTAAATGGATCACATTCTCCATCTTCTTTTCTCTGTCCTTTTCTCATCGCGTGCGTGCATGTGCATTACACTCACACACATCGACATGCAATCTCTTTATACAAACATTTATCTACTTACAAACATAATTGTTAATCAAGATTTATTGCTCCAAATTTCAAACTAAATTTCGTAAACCAAACATTTATTTACAAAAAAAAACTCGTACAAAGATGTAAGACTGCAGTCACATATTCCGAACCATTTTTCATTTGTAGAATATACAAAAGAGAAATAGCGCACATTATGTAATTTATCAGTGTGAAATTATATTTGAACATACAATTATAAGTTGCTGTTTTTATCGATAATACAAGAAAAAGAAAGGTACACTTGTCACAATGCAATGCAATACGACAAATTTCGCGTATGATTATGGCTGTATTTCGATATCCCCTGCCATTATTGAAAATCTATGGTATACGTGCATGCTATAGATTTTCAGATATTTCAGTACTTGCAGTAAATAATGGAACGTGCATAGTATACACGCACGCGCGCACAAACACACACACAGAGAGAGAGAGAGAGAGAGAGAGAGAGAGAGAGAGAGAGAGAGAGAGGGAAGGAGAGAGAGTATATATATGTACATACATGAGCAAAATTTGTGCAAAATTAGACATCCGTATGCATGATATATTCGCGTAATGGAATTCGTAAAAGAGTGCTCCATTATTTTATACTCATTTTCGTCGTCGCACTGTCATTCTCATAGTGAAAAACGATAATAAATCGCATGCGCGTTACTTGAAAGATTATCACTTAACAAATACATATCAAGATTTAATCGATTCGATACTACTTAGTAAACGAACAATTAAAATTCACTGCAGTCTTTTAAAGGCTTTTGAACGATAGCACGCTTGACGAATAACATCGTACTTACATACGAAGAAAAACATATGTAGCGATGCGAACGCGAATGATGAATCTGGATGATTAGGTAGACGACGGTCGTGAAGCTTAAGTACACCTCTTTCTTTTCCTATACTCGTGTCTCGTTCTCTCTCTCTCTCTCTCTCCCCCTCTCTTTTTCCCTCTCTCTCTCTCCTGTCGTCATTCTCATTTTTGTTCACAACGTTCAATCAATAATTTCGTTAGCATTCGTTCAATTCTGTCTGTGCAACTATAAAAAATAAATCACACCAATTTTCATCATCGATACTAACTTGCGAGAAGCATCTCGTCCGTCTCGTCTCGTTTTGTCTCGTCTCGTCTCGTCCGCACTGATCCGCGATAATAAACCGCTCGCAGTTCAAAATGGCGTTCGTCCGAGCCTAATGTGAGAATAAGGCTGCCTTCCCATGGAGAAAGAAATAACGGAACGGAATATTGACAGAAAAGAGATAGGACGAGGGTTATCCTCACCTTATCTCTTTTCTGTCAATATTCCGTTCCGTGGTTTCTTTTTTCATGGGAAGGCAGCCTCACAATGGAAACGAAGAAAAGCAACTCGAGGCGGCAACTGCGACGTTCTTTGCGACAATCGTGTCCAGCAACCTGCTGCTGCGCCGATGTACACCTACACCAATTGCTCCAATGGCGTATGCGCAGCAATTTCGATTTGCCCACACCCACTTGTGGTATTTGTAGGCGCACGCGCGCGCGAGACACACACACACACACACACACAGAGATTACTCCTCCCTACGATCGATATTTATTATCGATACCTATTCCTCTCCAACTAAACACTAGCCCATGATGAGAACAAATAAACGACAAGGAGACGGATATGTAGCTATTGCGGCTATTTCAGTTTTTAACACACGACATGACGCACGTACATATACACATATGCGTGCCATACATATGTATAATGTATGTATATACATATATCACGGGATAGAAAGATCTATCTTTCTCTCACACATATTACATACATATTTGATGAAAAGGCAGTGTCTTATATATGTTTATATATGTATGTAATTGTATTGTGTATATAAAAGGAATATGCATATAGTAAGAGAAAACAATATTGTATAGAAGAGAGATATTGAAATACATGTACGATTTTAAATATTATTGTCTGACATCATTTTTTTATACACCACTAAAAATTTATTACTTCTTCAAAATATTTATTTCTTTATACCGAGTTTTGACGTGTCTGGTATAAACTTTATTTTTAAAAGGTATGAAAATGCTGTAGTTGGAAAATTCAAAGATAATCTCTTAAAGATTGTCTCTTCAACTTTTTCTTAATCTTATTCCAAATTAAAGTTACTAAAAGATTATTTAATCTATTTTCTTCTATTTTCTCTTTTGTAGAGTTTTCGAATATTACGTCACGTTATAAATGCCGATTATTGAGAGTAATATATCTCTTTTCTACTATATATATATATATATATATTCACACAATTTGCAGTAATATCGCTGCTAAAATATCAAAATTTTCTATGAAAATTATAACAGTTCTCTCATTGGTTTTCTTATTTCGATAAAATCGTCACATATTGGAATTCCTTTTGTTTTCAATTTTTAGAGCTACCAATTAATACTACCAAGTTTAAAACGACAGAATGACTTTTATAAATTTTATATTTTATTTACACGTGTACATCTCTCTCTCTCTCTCTCTCTCTCTCTTCCCCCCTCTCTCCTTTGTTCACTCACTTATTCCCTCCTATACAACAAAATAAGTAAATATTAATAAATAAAAATGTTTCAAGTCTATCACGTTATATTTCTTTTAATAATAAAAATTTCAATGTTACATATGATGTAACTAATATTTAAAGTAGAGCTTCTCGATTTATTTTTTATTAAGTGTTATATAATATGTCACTATAGAAATAGGAAAATGTAACGAAACAGTAATCAGAGTGCTGATAGTTATACGTACATGATTCCTTTTTGTCTTATTTTTCCTTTTTCTTTCGTTTGCACGATTAAACGCGCACGACAAATATAAAATTGAATTTCTAATAATCGGAACAAGCTTATCATTCAATACGTACGTTTCATTAATTTCTCTTTTTATGAGAGAGAGAGAGAGAGAGAGAGAGAGAGAGAGAGAGAGAGAGTTGTAGTACAATTTATTTTTCTAAATCTGTTTAGAGCCTTTAAGATTATTTGTATTAAATTTCACTTTATGCTTTTAAAAAATATATGCCACTTTATTCACATTTATTTCATTCTGCCCGTAAATAGAATGTATTGAAACATGAGACGATATGCGTATATTTTGGACGGACACACGAAACGGGTTTTTCGCCTTATCCTAGCTCATTTTATCCACGAGTGTGTTGCGTGGATATAGAATTCGACCTTTATGATATTTAATTCTTTATAAATCATTTAAAAATAATGTCTTTAAGGTTCTCTCAGTTTATTTCATATATATTCAGTTGCTTGCAGCTGTTAAAATACTCTTACAAATAATGATATATCATGATTGTTGTAGATTGACGGAAATACTTGGGGTTCCTCAGGCAGATCCTCAGCAGGACGTAAACCCACATTTCTCTGTCGTAATATTAAGTCGTATCGAAAGCATGCCGCAAGATTAATGAGAGGGAAAACATCTTCGCTTAATGCTAATCATCCGGACAAAGTCGCAGAGTAAGTACATTCGATACGTATATACACGGTATGTAAATTTATAACTAACTTTATGTATATACATGTACATGTATAGGGTGTCCGAAAAGTGTGGAAACGGTCGAATATCTCGAGAAATACACATCGGATCAGAAATCTGAAAATATCGTATTCAATGTTTTCAAAAAAGCTATCTTTTGACATCTAACATGACCCCCCACCCCCACCCGCTGTGGATGAAAGAGAGGGTAACTTTAAAATTTTAAATGGGAACCCCCATTTTTTATTGCAGATTTCGCTTCTTCAGAAAAAGTTACATAAATTTTACCTATTACAAACATTTTTTTGATGACAGATGGCGCTGTAATCAGCGAAATTAAAAAATGAATTTTTGGATTCTGACTTCACATTCGTAATCAGCGATCCCAAAAACCCCCGAGTAACAAGTTTCAATCGAATTCGGGCATATTTTTTGCAAATTTACTCGCCGTACGTAAAATTTCGAAAAATTTTGAGCTTATAGGCGCCATTGTGAACTCAAAATCGAAAAATGAAAATTGTATACAGTACACGTTTTCGAAGTTTAACTATCGGGAACACGTTTCTGATACCTTATTACATACAAATGGACCTTTCGATACTTGTCTACGTTCTTTTCTGCTAATTGTTGGGGGTTGAAATCCATGTCGAAATTCAGCACATCTCGGCGTTAAAGGGTTAATACGACTTTTTCTGCAAAAGCGAAATCTGCAATAAAACATGGGGGTTTTCTCATTTAAAATTTTAAAGTTACCTACCCTTTCACCCCCAGCGGATGGTAGGTGGGGGATAGAATTTTTGTGTCAATGGATAGCTTTCTTGAAAACATTGAATACGTACATTTTTATTTTTTTGATCCTTTGAGTATTTCTTGAGATATTTTAAACGTTTTAGACTCATTTTTTAATTTCGCTGATTACAGCGCCATCTGTCATCAAAAAAATGTTTGTAATAGGTAAAATTTATGTAACTTTTTCTGAAGAAGCGAAATCTGCAATAAAAAATGGGGGTTCCCATTTAAAATTTTAAAGTTACCCTCTCTTTCACCCACAGCGGGTGGGGGTGGGGGGTCATGTTAGATGTCAAAAGATAGCTTTTTTGAAAACATTGAATACGATATTTTCAGATTTCTGATCCGATGTGTATTTCTCGAGATATTCGACCGTTTCCACACTTTTCGGACACCCTGTATATGTATATGAGGCATTCTCTGTCAAATCAGCCATCCCCCTGTTCATTTCAATTTTTGAGATAAAATTCTCTATTAGGGCTTAAAATTTTTCTTAAAATGTCTACTTTTGTCTACTTTTCGATGTTATGGCGTTTTTGAAAATTCAAAATGGCGGACCCAAAATGGCGACTGGAATGAAAAAAGATATATATTGGAAAAATTAACGATATTGTGAATAAACGTGCACAATGTGATATAGAGGCTGATCTGTGTGCGTGTGTGCGTGTGCGTGTGTGCGCGTGCGTGCGTGCGTGTTGCCTTTACAGCATTGATTGCTAATAATTATCGTTAGAACTCTTGAGGAGCTATCCAAAACTGCCAAAAATTTTTCACCCCTTGCATGTTTTCAATCTATCTATATGAAAGTTGTTCTCACTACACTAATTAGTTTTCTGTAATATTTCTTATAAGATAATATAAAGCTTCAACATTTATTAAATTATCTTATTATCACCCTGTAGAAATCCTGAATTATTTTTAACGAACAATATTCCTACTACCGTAGATTTTTCGCGACGTACTTTCTCAGGAAAAGAATAATCGAATTATGATTTGAAAATTTGTACGCAAATGTCTTAATTGATAACCAGTGGATATAGTGTTAGAGGATTGATTTTTATTCGTGATGTAATTCGTTTTGACACGCGCGCGCGCGCGCGCGCACACACACACACACACACACACAAATCAGACCTCTACATCACATCGTGGATGTTTATTCACGATCAATCACAAATATCATTAATTTTTCCGATTCTTTTTCCGAGTCTTTTTTCATTCCAGGTCATTCATCATTTTGGGTCGGCCATTTTGAATTTTCAAAAACGCCATACGGTATTGAAAACTAGACATTTCAAGGAAAATTTTAAGCCCTAATATAGAATTTTATCTTAAAAATTGAAATGGGCAGGGGGCCGATTTGACAGAGAATGCCCCGTGCGTGCGTTTACACACACATAACTTAACGTCTCGTTATCAAATTTGTACATATCAAGTAACAATATTGTAAATTTGTTGCAGATCAAGCGACACTCCAGACATGATAAATTCCGACGAAACACAATGTAGATTTAATCCCAACAGTTATACCATGCTCTTCATTGTCCATAAGGACAGATTTCTTTACAAACAAAACTCCATGAACCGTGCTAGACGGGTATGTTTACAATTTTTTGAATACTTCCTTCACACCAAATGTTGTGTATAATCTCTTTAGTTTTGTCTTGTTCTGATATTAATTCTCATGACCCTATTCAGAACGCGTTTACAACGATGTTAGCGCGCTAACATACTATACTTTATGTTACGCATATTATAGAATTTCAGAGATAAAAGCGCGTTCTGAATACAGGCCCATATCTCTTGCTATATCTGACATAGCTCGATTTCACTAAAAGAGAAAAGAAGAAAAATGTAGAATATTTTGATTTGACAGTGTCATCCAGCTGTAACGAAGCATAAAGATTCCAAGTTCCATCATTGGCATGCCTCATGGATATCCAAAAACGGCACAGATGTTCAACATCGGTTATGTCAAGATTGGTTGATGGGACGATACGAGAACTTGATTCCTCATAGGACACGAGTGGTAACGGACAACGATCAGACACGTTCTCCCTACCGGCAATACAATCGTTTTCGAGTAGAACGTTTGCAATCTGATTTGTTGACAGAGACTTGCATCTAATCTAATTCGACGGAATTTCTTACCGTCATTTAAAATTTCTCAATATTGCTACACTCGTTATAATTAATTAGTCTTTTATCGGCGAAAATTATTCTTTGCCCGTTCAGCCGGCATGATTAAGACTCAAAGCAAAAATTTTTGAAATACAAGTTTAGTTTTGTATAAAGCAATGATTATATTATATCTCTCTCTTAGGCAGGTACAAACAATACTCTCGATATTCAAAGAAAGTTTGAACTGTGAATTAAATTTGATTCCAAAAACATTAAAGAGAATAAATAGTCAATGGCCGTCCATGTGTTATATGCTATATGAGCTATATCATATTGTATTATATGTTCGCACACAGTTTTATTCTTGGCTATACACACAGGCCTGTATTACATACACACATATACAACGATGTATAATAATGTACTGTTGCGAGTGATTTAATACTATCGCACTGAATTCGTAATTAGACAGTTTTTGCCAGCTTCTCTCACTACTTGTATCTCGTTTTATTTTCTTGTAAGATTATAACACTCACTCGATAAGTCGTGTTTATTTTACAATATCAATATTAGTGTATTACGCGCGACCGGAATTTAATACATTTTACATCTGTACATTTGGATACGGCTTACACCTTGGTGTAACGTTCGATATTTTAGCAAGTATGTACATATACACATATAGATGCTTATTTCGTTTGAGATCCAACTAGAAATGTCAACTGTTATACATTATAGAAATAACAAACTGTTTACACGAGAGAACAACAAATTATTTTAGTTGACGTTTCCAACGTTTATGTCTTTAATGAAATAAGTATATATACATCTATATATAAATATTTGTAATTAGACATACATTTTCAAGCATGTACATATATACATCTGCATATATGAGTATATATATATTTTTTTTCATATATACACGCACATTATATGTACATACACATACATGTATAAACATGTACAAAGAAAGCTTTAGAGTTTACATTTCTGTTTGCCTTCCGACTTTGTAACGTAGAATCATCTTAAAGGTGTAAAAACGGTAATGTTCCTGGACAATGCGATAGAACCGAGCGTGCTGGAAGTTTATGCGGCATGAAAAATTAGCCGGAAAGTCATTGACCTCCACGCGCGCGCGCGCGCACCACGCACGATCGTATATGCCTGGTTATTGTTATATCTGTTTTGTAGCGTATGATATCAATGTAATATAAAATGCGATTTCTCAATAGTATATATTTTACAGCACATTCTTAAATCTAGTGTATGATCTGCAAATTGAAATGTGATAAGTCGTCAATGAAATGGTACATTATTGTATGTACATAGATAGACGTTAATGAACTTGCTCCTAATTACGTCAATCGCCACATAGTTTCTTTTTAGTAAAACAAGAAAAGTTCGTGCGTGGTTCATATTTGGGAACAAAATGATCACGTCCGTTACACGAATGCCGTGATAAACGATTAACAATTAATAAATTAATAAAGAATGCGATACTTGTCTCGTTCATTTGTTATATTTTTGTCAATTCTCGGAACACATCTGTACGGTAACTATATGTATATTATATCGTCGATGAAAAACTTAGGGGATAAGCTAGCCAAAAGGATATAAGATAAATATTTAATTATAACATAATATAATGTATAGTCGTAATATATATTATACATACCGTAATTTTCATAATACGAGACACTGTGGTTGTATATTTATTGAAGCATTTCCTCATAAGCGAAATAAATAGAAAGGAAACGGAGAGAAGAGAGGACAAATAAGAGGAAAAGACAAAATAAAAGCAGAAAATGAGAGAGAGAGAGAGAGAGAGAGAGAGAGAGAGAGAGAGAATGGATAAGATAGTATGAATAAAATAAATGGTGAAATGTTCAATCCAAGATAAATTGACAATTTATTTGGAGACGTTTTATGATACGATCTTAATTAATTAGTTTTCAATAATTTTTGCTTTAAATTAAAATGTCATGGATAGCCATAACGCACCCGTTTATTCCGTATTCTGAATAAATCGTCAACAAATTTAAACCAAACATATCACCATTTATTTTTTTCTTTCTTTGTACATTATTTTTCTATCCGGTCAATTAATATTTCAACACCAAATGAAAGAGAGAGAGAGAGAGAGAGAGAGAGAGAAGGCGAGAATGAAACGAAAAGTGTGGTCTTCCTGATATCTGATGACTCCTGACTATATATTACTGTATTTTACAAAAAATTGCTAATTTTTTTAAATACGTGTATGAAAAATAAAAATGTACAGGCAATTTTACTACTCTCGAAATAATAATTTAATGTTGATATATTTTGCACACAAATTATTAATAAACTAAATAGTGAAAAGCTATCGTTTTACTTTAATCGATAATTTTTTTCCATAGCTCCGTATACACATATATGTATAACTTGGCTTGCTCTTCCTCTTATATGTATATGCTTGTATCATAACTTTTTTCAAAATATCCGTTTAAACATATTTTTGTTCAAAATCGGAGAACCGATTAAGCCTGAAATCGCATCAATGTGGAATTTATGTCCACAGGAGGACTTGTGATCCTCGAGTACCCCCTTTGCTCCGTAATAAACAGTAAAAAATTATTTGCACTTGATTGTATTTTTCATTGTGTTTCAGGCTTTATTTTTGCAAGAATATGCGATATGATATCGAGGAGAAATAATGATGTGTTACGCAAAATGAAAAGTCGCAAAAAGCCTTGCAATTTTGTTTTATTATATTAAAAATGATAAAATTAGACAATATATAGTTATACAATGATATATCAATATTTAATCGTAATAATAGATAACTTACATTTCCTGTATGTTACACAAGTGAAATACTGCGTATGAATACAACAAACTGAAATACTTGTGATCTATTTCTTATTGTTAGGCACGTTTACTTGGCACTAATTGCCACTGATTAAAGTTCTAGCCGGATAAAAAGAAATTGTGGGGGGTCTCAGCTGCATGTCGAGATTGAGACCTAAATGTACCGATACTGTAGAGAAATTTACTTCATGGCATGCTCTGAATTTCGAATTGAATTTTTTTGACATACACACACACACACACACACACACACACACACACACATACACGCTACGTTATCAATAAAATAAAATCTGTAAACGATATTATATATATATGTCGGCAATATAGCTTTCAAAATAATTATGTCCAAATGGATCAACCAAAAACGGTAATGTCATTTTACGTGTAAAATTTTTCATTACGTACATGCACGTTCATACGTTGTAATTTGATTCACATTCATTTTCACTTCTTATTGCGCTTGAAGGATTGTACGATACGATGCTTACATTTGGTTTACGATCTGCTTTGTTCACGGTTTTGTAGCTCGACAACTTTGCCCGTGCGATTAAAGCTAAAGGTCACGGATAAAATAACTTGCAATCATATTTGTATTTATATATCGACACTCGCACGATTGTCAAGTAGCAGATAAAGCGACCGTAATAAGTTTTCTCGTTATAAATACTATATTATTATCAAATTATTATTATTATTATTATTATTGCTACGATACTACTACTACTACTACTACTACTACTATTATTATACGAAAAAAAGAGAATTATTTTTTGCGATACTTGGTTAAGTACAAAGAAAGGTAAGAAAATGTAAGGAAAAGTGCTATCGCGGATGTTGTCAAAAGCCCGTATTCATCCGTATCATTTTATAGCTATTTAACGCATTTAATAAATATATCAAATTGATGCATTTAATTTTACGCTTTCTGCCAAATCAAACGAGGATTGAAATTTGTATGTTGATCGCAATGGCTAAGTAGCTACTTTTTGACTAAATGTAATAATATAAACAATTTTACAATTTTACATGTTAGGAGTAAATTAAAAGTAAGCGAGAATTTTAAAGATTGGTGTGGCATATATGTTTTACATACAAATCGATTCTCGAAAACGAGTTTGAATCGATATACTACATCTATGAGTATGAAAGTTGAAATTGAAATACATCACACATTGCAATAATGTAAATAAAAGTAGAAAATATATAAAGATATTAAAAATATATAAACCACATGACGCGATATGAATTAATTGATTTTTAATTGCCGCTATTCGTTAGGTTTTCAATCGTATATGCGATAAGCGTCGACCAAGAGCGAGTTTCCAAGAATTAGAAAATTTAATTATGTATATTGTATTAAAAACTATGACATGTAACATTTTTTACATACGTGTGTGTGTGTGTATGTGCGCGCGCACACGTATCGTATGAAAAATTTATTCCTAATTGTAAAATTGTTAATCCAACAACTCGGACAATTAGAAGGGTATTCTGCACTATCGCATGGCCAGGCTGTCGCGCCTGATAGTAGTGTGCCGTACGTTTATACCTGTAATGTAATAATTCCAACTTTCTGACAAAACATATAATAAGGATCACTTTAGCACGGTCGCGAGTAACAATCGTTCGATCACAATCTTCTTTGTAATAAAACGGTGATCACTTTCATTCAAAATGTACGGTGTATCAAAGATGTTATCGAAACTCGAAGAGCTGGAGTCGTGACGAATCGTGAAGACGATCACGACGACGATGGCGGTAACTGCAGATTTGGTGTGACACGATGACACGTAGTACAAGTAGATACCGATGACGAGAGAATGCCGACCTCGTCTCAGAGAGTGTCATCGGGAGAGGGAGACTCGATGTCCTCCGCTGTCGTATTTTGGCGGCAACGGTAGACGTAAGCACTCGCGGAGAGATCGTCTCCAACGCGCACGCACTTGTAACTTTCATCCGGGCATTCACAACTGTACAAATTAAGTGAAGAATTATTTTATATATGTATATATATATACATATATATAAGAAATTATAAGTAATTCGCAATCTTTCTTCCTACGGACGTAATACATCCTGCAGGCCTGTCCTGCATCCTAGTTCTATCTGTATCTCTCTAAACATTTTCTCTTACGTTTTATAGTTTTCAAGTTTTACAATTAAAAAATGGTTATTTTTACATAAATTAAATTCATAATTAATGGCAATTTTTTCTAATTTATTCATCTTATCGTATTAGCTACGCTCTAGATTTGTTCTCGAGAAGAGATGCTTTTAACATTATCTCAGTTATCGTAGTTAATAGTAATATACATACAATACTATATAGTAAAAAACACTAAACACACTTACGTGTTTCTCATGAAATACTCAATGTTACGCGTATACGGATTGTAGACCGCCCATCCACAGGGTGCATTATGACAAATTCGTCTCGGTGCGTTTTCCTCATCGCTATCTTCTGTAGCTCGTGGAATCCTGACGTTTGTAAAGTCTCGTAACAGTACCCGCTGCAACTGTTTCTGCAATTAAACATACCAAACTGCTGAGTTGTATAATTATTATTATTATTATTAGAAACGTATTCACATTATGACTTAATCATTTTCCACTTTCCTTAGCGCGCGCACGGAAAGCGTTAATTTTGATATTTAATTAAATATACCGCTTAGCTTTTATGTGAATAAATCGTACAAATTCAAAAGTTGCTAGCATCTCGTCTCGAGAGAAACCTCGTCTCTTGTAGTTATAATCTCTAACTATTGGTCATATAGGTACATATCGCACCGTTTCGTACGTTCTTCTTTAGTGCGACAATACGATGTTTATATTTAACTTTATGTTTAAATTTATTCAACGTATATACAACGTATATGTATAATTTATTTGACGATTCAGTTATTGTGGACCCCTAGACTCGATCGACCAGATATACATATATGTATAATACCGCGTGTTGCTTTTACTCAAATCGAAGCATATATAAAATTATTACACAAGTTTTCTATTTCCTACAAAATCGATAATTTGAGGGAAAAAAGTATGTATATCACATCGTATGTAGCTAGCGTGACTTTAATTCTCTTTGACAATTTTTAATAAATCATAAATATCAGGTATTTCTCTCGTACTCTCGGTTTTCTCATTCCAATTCAAACATCTCAAACAGTCTTCCTATCTTCGTAAATTCTTATATACACTCACAAAAATGTCAAAAGATGAAAAAAAATCATACTTTTTTTTTCTTTATTCAGTAACATTAATCTTAGTTCAAGAGTTATCAATCACATAGTATATGCCATATAATGCGTGTATATGTACGTATACGCACGCACGCACTATAAATATATATATTTGTAGTTTGTAGTTAATTATAGCAACAGTATTGCAATTGTATATGTATAAATTTTTACGTGACGTGTTAATCAATTCCAAAGGAAATTATAGTAAAACAGAAAAAAAAACTTGGACTCTCGACGACTTTGATAAATTTTGAGTTAAGAGCGCGGTTGGATATTGCGAAATCTCGTGCATTTCTGGCAACGCAAACTGACGCGAATAGGAGCGAGAAGAAGGAGAGGAGAAAGATGCTGCAATGACGCACGTTGCGCCAGTGACGTTAACCGCTCAAGACAGTGAATGATGGGCAAACGTCATTCTTTGAATGAAGAGTCGCCAATATCAAGCGCTATCTACAAACCCGCGGACTCGATAGCCCCTCTCGTGTCAAGCGTGATACTGCCTCGTGTGATATTATTTTATCGTCTTCTTCTAAAATCTTTCATCGTTATTTCTCTTTCGATGCGGCCACGAGTAATTAGGAAAAATTTTGTACAAATGCACATACACACACATATACATATATATATATATATATACACACACAGGGTGTTAGTTAAGTATGTTGCCATACTCAACAGAGCGATTCTTTGGTTTATTTCAAGTAAAAAAGTCCATATAAACATGTGTCCTAAACGGTTTAGTTTCGGAAATAAAAAAACGTGTAGTAATAATCTGTTTATTTGAAAGAAATACAGCTTGAACTAGTCAAAAATTAGTCAAAAACAAAAAAAACACAGGCTTCAGTTCTTCTGATGAAATAAAACAATTAGATGAATTGTTAAAAATGTCCACGTTGCGCCATGATACATCCATCGAGCCTTCTTCTCAAAGATTGACGTACACGCTCAAAGATCAGAACTGAAGTCTATTTTTGATTTTGTGACTTTGACTTTGACTTTGTCACTTTGTTTACGGTTGTGCGAATGGTAACTCACGTGAAGCAAGGCATATTTATGCAGGAAGATATCTCCAACGCAATTTACCGTTTCGTCAAACATTTGCGAACATTCACCTGTATTTCGGAAACTAAGCCGTTTAGGATACATGTTTATATGGACTTTTTTACTTGAAATAAACCAAAGAATCGCTCTGTTGAGTATGGCAACATACTTAACTAACACCCTGTATATATAATATTATATTGTACATACACGCACTAACATACAACTAACATGGTTTTGGTCACGCAACTCAAAAGCGCGTCTCAAAATCAAATGATCGACGTACACTTTGCGTTTATTGGAAAGCAGAGGAACGTTGATACAATCGATCGCAATTGCGAATAACAATGCGATGTTAATTTGATAAGCAACAATCATGCGAGTGAATACTGAATTCTTCCAAGTAATTAAAATTATAAAATGAACGAGAGAATTGTGCTCCATGGTCTTCTACATATAATTAAATTGCTTTTAGACTTTGCATATCTTTCCAGGAATTCGTCATATGATCTTGTTGCGATTTCCTACGATTTGCATTCGTAGCTATTATGGGATTTAGAACGATTGTAAAGTCACAACGAATCGCCTATACCATTCGATTCAATTTAAAATTTATCAAATAGCGAATGATTCTCGTATGTCGAAAGAAGACAAGCATGGCATTCTCGAAGCCGTGAGTCGTGACTCGATAGGTTCAATTCATGAATGAAACTACTCGAACCGCTAGCGAGTCAGCATGCTCGATAATGTGTACGTACGTATAATACACACAAACACACGCGCGCGCATATATATATATATATATCACTACAGAGAAATTATTTGTTGAATCTAAATAGCAGAATAGAATCTGATAACTACGCAAAGTTAAAAAATGAAATCACATCGGCTTCGACACCATTCGATCAATCTTGTGACGCACTTTGAAATCGCGGCGATTAATTCGTTCAATTCGATTACGTGTGCGCGTCTTTTATATGTATATACCAAATGCATCCTAATAATAATATTGTAACTTTTACGTTATTTGCGATTACAATGTAGATACATCACAGCCAAAATGTATGTACGTTGAATCGCCCGCGCCTGCGCCGTGTTACGTGTGTATTTGAGCTAGGTGTGCGCGCTGAATGTGTAATTGTAAAGGAAACTCTACGATCGACGTTTCACGAAAAAAAGATCCTCGTAACATTGTTTCCCTCTGCCTGTGTTGCGTAGAAAGGCGCGAACAATGATCACATAATATGACTTCCGTTTCAACGACTCACTTCGGATCACAATTTATAATTGTTATTCGCCAAAAAAACTTTTAGCGTTTTCGAGTGCACTAGTGCAGTGGGTTTGAATCCGACTCAGTTCGGTTAACCCGTGTTTGACCCGAAAGTATCATGACCTCGTCCAATCCGAAATCGAAGTAAGGCATGTAACGTCACCGATCCGACCCGGATTAGATTAAAACTCGTTCCACTACACTCGAAAACGCTATTTGTTTTCTCTTGCTTCTCCCTTCCCTCTTCTCTCTCTCTCTCATCATTGAACAGCATCACCGAATAGCAATTATAGGAAAAACTGGATTCGTCAGACTTAATTTTCATTCATTCTTTTCCTGCAGTCGCGCGCGCGCACATTCCTTACATTCAAATCTAATTCATTGTTGATCGACTAATGCAATCGTGTGATGATCTTACCTCGGAACGGACCACCGCCGTATCGATGAGAGCTGGGTAGCACAATGTAACGGCGAGGGTGAAGACAAGGAATATTCTCATGTTATTGTGATAACTGGCTTTCGCGCGCGGATTCGACTGCATTTCCATTTGTACGTAACGTAGTGGTACGTAGGCAACGACGAGAAGAGTCGACTCGATCTCGGAGATGATCGCAAACTTGCGCCTCTCGAATTTATATATAGTTATACTATATTACCGCCTGCAGTATCTTGGCGTGGACTTGTCCGTGCTCGTCTTCGATCCTCGTGCACGCGTCGATGTCGAAATCAGTTGAAATTAATAATTGCACGTGGCGAAACACGCGCGCGTTCAATACGTGAGCGTGCACACTGTGAGCAGCAGCGTGATCGCAAGCGGCGCGAAATGAAACGGACACGTATGTTTCCTCCGAGAAACTGCAGACAAGTTTCGCGGGGATGTTAACGTGACGAACGCAGCGAGTGATTCGACGATGTTAAACCCCAGATCAAAGAGATCAGATCAGGGAAACGAAACGCGTCGGAGGATGCTCTTTTTAGTCTTTTTCCACTGGAGATGAGAATACCGTTTCGGTTTCAATTCAGGATACTGCACGTACGAGCTTGTCCACGCGCTCTCTCTCTCTCTCTCTCTCTCTCTCTCTCTCTCTCTCTCGCTCTCTTTTTCAGTGACCGAGTTATATACGCGTCTTCGGAACTTTATACATAGACTGTCTTCTCGTATAGAGTGAAGATGCTTTCGAGTCACCGGGGGTTTATATAGGCTGGGCTAGCCGAGGGAGGGGAAAAAGATTTAGGCAGAGAAACAAGGAAAGAGAGGAAGAGAGTGAGAAACGGAGAGGGAGACCAATAACGAGAGAGAAAAGAAGAGAGGGAAACTACGCTTAGACTTGGTTAATAATTCCAACAGTAGTAATAATAATAATAATAATAATAATAATGGTGGTGATGGTGGTGGTGGTGTAGTAACAACAACAGTAATAATAACAATAACGACGAATGCGTGTAATAGGACAATTACGCGATCTTTCGTCGCTAGTCTTACAATTAGTTGGTTTATTCCTCACAATTAGCAAGATCGATAGATCTCGTGGGTGCACGCGCGTGGAGCACGTGCCTCAATGGCGGGGAAAACGAGGTGTTTTCTAGCTGTCGGCACGCGCGCGCGTGTCGACGCCTCTCTTTGACGCTGCTCTGCTTTTTGCATTCGTTTCTCGATCCGTATGATGAGAGAATCTATTTAACTTTACTTCACTCCGCAAACTTACGTTCCTTGCTGAATTTACGTTTTTTCACCACACACGATAATTGTTTCATTTTCCATTATAAACGCCTTCGATTAATAATATTGTAATAACGTACCTTTTCAACTAGGTATTTGTTCGATCCTTTTGCCACTTTGTCGATCAAGTTCCATATCTCTCTCTCTCTCTCTCTCTCTCTCTCTCTCTCTCTCTCTCTCTCTCATCGCCCATCATTATTCATCTAAAAATTTACAATCTTCCAAGAGGATCTTTGATAAGAGAGCGATTCTAGACTTGTTAAAAACTTATATAGTATATTGCTCGGTTTGCGCTTTAATACTAAAAGTATTAAAAAATTACTTCACTCTCGCACATAAATTAGTTTTGACGTATGTATACACACACACACACACACACACACACACACACACACACACACACACACACACACAAACATATATATATATATAGTTGTGAAGATTGGGTATACTCGTCTCACTTTTAGGAAATGTGGCTTAAACGATCAAGTCAGATTCGTTCAACAATAATAATCGATCAGCTCGAGTGAGTGAGAAAGGAACGGGAGAGGGAAAGATTAAAACATCTGCGTCGTCACAGAGTCGCCGGCGCGGCGTTTCTAAAATGCGCGCTTTCTTTCCTTAGACCGCGCGTCTGATGTAATATCACTTGGTAAACTGTCAGATAGCACATAGCAAAGCTTGTGGACGAAAAACGTAGGAATCTAGAATAAATAATACACAACGACGAGTTTTTTAATATGTATTAAAATACAGGCGTTATCGCTTAGATAAACGAAATTCAAATAAGCGAACCGCTCTGTTTACGTTATAAACAGTTTCAAGTTTCATATCAGTACGCGCGCGCGTACTAATAAATTTCTGTAGAAATAACTCGATATAGATATACGTAAAATAGATGAAATAATTCGTCTCTACGAAATAATGCTATATATTGTTATATGTCACACATATGTATATATATTTTTTTAACCGCAAGCAATTTTACGATTTGGTCGCAAGACGAGATTATTAGATATACATATACATATACGGATGCCGCGTATGACTTTCATTTTCAATTTAATTTTGTTTTTTATCAAACTCGTTACACCTACATATCAAATGAAAATTTAGTAAATTCCTCTAGCAATTCGACAACGGGTGAACTGAATTTTCTTTTGGTTATAATTACATTTCCAAAAAGCTACAAAAAGCTAATCCGTATAGATGAAACCTCTACATTGAGCAAATCTTGATATCTAAAGTCTTGAACGTTTTCAATTTGACATTGAAACAATCGTCTCGTTATTCTGCCGTTATTAAGATATTTTTCAGTAGTAATGAACTCAAGCCCAGCTTTGTAAAGCACAAACAAATTTCTTCATCGCGCGCGTTGACAATTTTCCCTATTCTTTTAATTTAACCAATCGACGTAGAGTACGTATTCGTCATAGGTCACGCTCTTGAACGTGCCGTTCGAGTAGAGATCTACAGATCGAGTAGAGGCAATCCTCGCAGTCGCGCACTGCATCGATGCAGCGCCGTATGATACCATGTGCCATATATGCCATACCGTATGTTTGCTCGACAATATAAGAATTAGACCCCGCTCTCGTCCACAAAACGCAGTTTAGTTCCTCTTGCCATCTACATCGGTTGGATTGATAACATTATACACTTATCTTGTACGTGAGTCAGAGCATGTACACATATGCATGTATACATATACATATGTGGGAGGCTCGACGGAGGCCTGTCGATCTCTCGGCCAATGGCAGGACAGTTGATCGCTTACGTCGGCATCACCTCATAGGCGAAGCAACACGACGCGACATGTCGTATCATCAATACGGCATGTCACATGTAAATTTTCGGCAATCATATGCGTAGTAAATCATCCAATTTGATGCGCACGTGCAATCATAATTCAGCTTACCAACTGCAGCGTAGCGTATGCAATGAGTATAATATACATATGCGATATAATTAATAGATATCTAATATTATATAAATAATATATATAATATGGCTTTGAAGAAGCTCTGCGCGACGAGAAAGATAGTAACAATTAATAAGATATACTTGAATATAGTTTTAAAGGATCGGAAAAAACCCAATTTTTCTCCAATTTTTCCGCGGATTTTTTCGGTTTTTTTCTCAAGGGTAGAAAAATTCATTTTGGAAAAATTCACGCGTGTTCGTAAAACCTATCACGTTTGCTTCTCGGTTCTTTCCGTAAAGAAAATAATTGCGTATA